AGAATAAAGCATAAAAAACATACAGACAAAAGGTCACAAACTTTATAGAAATCTTTGTACATTGCTGCAAATTATAATTTGTATGTAATGGACTTAGTGAACTAAAAAGAATGTTGAGAAACAAGAAATTAAATTAGAAAGTCATCGTGATTTAGGGAAAATTCAAAAGAGACATTTGTTTTATTATTTAAACGCGTGAACAAAAGAGATTACACAAGCTCTTAAAGGAGAGAGAATCGACGAAGCAGAGTAGAAATTAAAGGAGACAAAATGTTTATTAAAGTTAAAAAAAAAAAATGTTTATTAGACTCAGCTTCGGAGCATCGCAGAGATCACTCTGTATAAGGAGCTTATTCACTTGAGAGGGATAAACCTGGAGGAATTGGTAGCACCAACACCAGGCCTACCGTGCTTAACCGGTTTGTATGAGATTGAGAACTCAGCCAAGTAGTGTCCAATCATTTCCGGTTTGATCTCGACTTGGTTAAAAGTCTTTCCGTTGTACACACCAATGATGCTTCCAATCATTTCAGGCACAATGATCATGTTTCTCAGGTGTGTTCTCACTGGCTCTGGCTTCTCACCAGCTGGTGCATCTCTTTTCTGTTCAAAATAGATAAATAAGGCATAACAATCTTTAGTGACATTTGATCGACTGCAAAATTGTATAGAGAAAGCATGCAACATGGATTCACAATAATGACATTAGCACGAAAATGGAGTATTGGTTTATCTTAGCTATTAAAAAAAAGAAATCATGGGGTTAAAGTCAAAAGAGACTTGTAAGATATATAATATTTTAGTGTTTAAAGCCATGTAATTTGATGTAATGTAACAATATCGAAAACGAGAACATATGCATTATCGAACTCCAAGATATATGGAATGGATGAAAGAAGACTAGATTAAATTGAAATTGTTTTTATAAGAAAGAGATCCAAATGGAATAAAACTGAGAAACCACTTGAAGTTATAGAGTTTTGTAAAGACTAGAAAAAAAAAAAGTAATTTCATTTTCACGTATACTCCGATCCAATTCGATTGCATACCATAGGAAAATGTATATATTCATGATTATATACGTTTCAGAAGAAAAACATATAAAAATTG